GGAGCCGTCTCTGCGGCTAGTGACGACGGTTGCAGGTGGCGGTGGCAGGAAGCCGTTTGAAATGCGGCTGTCAGGTGTCAGATCCCAAATCAGTCAGGTATGCCACCCTAGTTATCACTTGGATAAATTAGACTAGAAATTGCTTATTTTCTAGTATAGATTCAATAGAAAAAGAAAAGAAAGGAAGGTCACGAATAGAAGAAAAGAGAGAAGAGAAGAAGAAAAAGAGAAAGAGAAAGAAAGAGTGTGGTTCAATTGATTCTGTCACCCTACTATATTAGTATTTATATATTGCATCTTAACTGTAGCGGACTTACATAAATACCCTTGCTGAAACAGAAATAAATATAAAACAACATATCTAGCCTAACTACCATGCAATAAATATATAAAAAATATTAGTGGGACCACATACATACTAACAACTAACAACTATCTCTACACTTCCCCTTAAATTGGTAGTAGATATTAGCCATTCCTAATTTGCGTAGATTTGTCTCCAACTTGGTCTTTGTAACTGCCTTAGTGAAGAAATTAGCAAGATGCACATCTACAGCAATATATGGAAGACACACTTCTTGAGATGCAACCCTCTCTCTGATAAAGTGTTGGTCCATTTCAATGTGCTTAGTTTTGTCATGCTATATCGAATTATGAACAATGCTAATTACAGCATGATTATCGCAATACAACATCAGAGGCTTCTCATATTCAACACCTAACTCATCAAATAAAGACCACAATCATAACACTTTAGCCACTCCATTAGCCATAGATCTGTATTCAACTTCAGCACTAGAGTGAGCAACAATATTTTGTTTCTTACTCCTCCGAGAAATAAGATTCTCCCTACAAAAGCACAATTAGGGGTGGATTCGAGCCAAGGTGAGCCAAATACTTGGCTATTCGAGCTCTGCTCGTAGGAATAGTATCGAACTCGAGCTTGGCTCAGCTTGATTTCGACTATAAGCCAAGTTTTTTTTAATAAAAATATGTATAACATTATTTTTTATTTTTTAAATAAAAAATTAAGAATTATATATGTGTGTGTGTATGCATGTATGTATGTATGTGTCTATCTCTCTCTATCTCTCTCTCTCTCTCTCTCTATATATATATATATATATATTATATAACAAAAATGATTTATTTAATACTAGGCTCGCGAGTCTTACGAGTCGAGGTTCAATGTGCTCGAGCTCAGCTCGACTAGCAAATGAGTCTATATGTTGGGATCAAATTTGGATTGAAGCTCAGTTTTAACCGAGCTGAGCTGAGCTCGAATAGCTCGTGAAAGGCTCGGCTTGTGGCCACCCCAAGCACAATACCTAGAGGTAGATCTCCTATCATCAACACAACTAGCCCAATCAGCATCTGCGTATGCTTCTATTTTCAAGTGACCATTATTCTTGAAGAGTATACCTCTCACGGGGAATTTCTTTAGATAGGCAAATATCATTTTCACTTCAAAAAGGTGGGTGGTTTTGGGAGAATGCATGTACTGGCTAACAACTTTGACAACATAAGAAATGTCTAGTCATGTTAGGCAAAAATAAAGTTGATACATAACTCTATCTTCAAGAGACTCTCCACTTTCTGCACTTATCTTGTGGTTTAGTTCAATGGGTGTGCCGACTGGTTTAACTCCTAACTTCTTAGTTTCTTACAACAAATCAAGAACAAACTTTTTGGGGAGACAAAGATGCCATGCTTAGATCTAACTACTTCAATTCCCAAGAAATAGTGTAGTCCCCCAAATCTTTTACTTCAAACTCTTGGTGAAGAAGTTGCTTGAGGGTGTCAATCTCACCAATGTCACTTCCTGTTAGTACAATATCATCAACATAGACAACAAGTAAGGTCAAAGAGGAGTTTGTTTTCTTAAAGAAAAGAGTGTGATTTGATTGAGCTTGAACATAGCCAAATTCTTGGGGACTGTTTCAGTCCATATAAAGCTTTCTTCAGCCAACAAACCTTCTTTCCTCCCTCTGCACCATAAAAATCGGGGGGGGCATCTCCATTGAGAAATGCATTTTTAACATCCATTTGAACCAGTGGCCATGAGAAATTTACAACAATGGATAATAAGACTCTAATAATATTCATCTTGGCTATTGGTGCAAATGTTTCTAAATAATCTATGCCAGAAGTTTGTGTGAATCCCTTTGCAACCAATCTACCCTTATTCCTTTTCTATGGAGGCATCAACATTATATTTCACTGTAAACACCCATCTACACCCAATAAACTTATTCCTCTCAAACTGATCAACCAACTCCCATGTATTGTTTTTTACAAGAACATCCATTTCTTGCACCTTTCTACTCTGGTACCAAAAAAACTTTTTGCAAACTGCAATTACGAGGCCAATGATCTATATGATTGTAAAAGTCAATCAAGAGAGAAATTGGAAGATACAATAGGGAGTACAACGCCACTTCCCTTTACAAACTGCAATTACGACGTCAAGATCATTTAAAGGTAGGGGTCGAGGCTCAACGATGTTAGGCATATCATCTTCAAAATTGGACTCAATGGGCTCAGTAGTGGAGGTGGTACCTGGATACCACGATCGGCTTAGACTAGTGAGAACCAAAATCAACTCAATTCCGTGCAATTTTGACAACGATCGGCTCGGGCTAAGTCAACTTTTTGCCGGGTCTAGCCGTCGAGGCATGTTAGAATTATTCACAGATGTGGCACTTATCTTAATCCACCGTATCCACGGCTCCGTTGCTTACTTTTTATGCTTATCATCAATTGTTATGTTGATGGTATTTGTAATTATCTTAATCTGTTTATAGACTTTGCCATCGAACCTTTCTCTATTCCATACATGTGCCTCTACTTTCTTCAACGTAAACCGATTCTTGCCGACAATGGACGCTTGCTCGTCGTCGGAGACGACAGTATTCGAGAGGCAAATTGCTGATCCAATTGGGATGATGGAAGAGCTGGAAGAGAAGATGGTCTCAGTCTTGGAGCTCATGGTTCCACTAAGAAACAGACTGGACGAGTTACAGAAGGAGCGCGACTGTGCTGTCAAAGAAGCAGGGGAGCTGAGGAAAAAGATAGCAGAGGAGAGCTCAAGCTCGAAGAAGCCACAGTTGTTCACCGACTTCTCCTTCTCGGAGATCGAGGCAGCGACTGGAAACTTCGACCCATCAATGAAKATCGGCGAATGGGGATATGGGACCCTCTACAGAGGATTCCTTCGGCACACCCAGGTAGCCATTAAGATGTTCCAGCCTCAAGACTCACAGGATCACTCAGATTTCCAACAGGAGGTAAGTAAAATCTACTGCGACAATCAACCCACCACTGTTACCATTTTATATGCACCATACGTGATATTGATAGGGAGTTCGCTCCATTCAATCTTCCAACCCAAGCTGTAAAAAATTAAAGCAGGGAAGGGATTTCCGGCCAAGCTTGGATAAAGAATGATGACAGAAGGGGCCGCCGGGGCGGCGGGTCTCCATGGACTCGTACCGTGTGAGACCTCTCGGTGACTCTGCCTGTCGTCTGACTGATCGTCACGTTCCAGGCCTCCAGCCGCCCAGTACTGATCATCACCAGGAACTAGAACTACCTAGTAATGATGTTCAATCTCCCAATCTTATCTTGACACGCGGAAAGTTTTTAAGCAAAAAGATCACTGTAAAAAGATTCTTTACGAAATTGGAGAGAGAATGTCCATCGCACCATCGGTCCGTTATTATCGTTTGCTTGACGTCTAAGCTAGCCTTTCAAAATTCAAAAAATATATTAAGAAAGGGGAGGTAAATTTTCAAGAAATTTGAATAGATTATTCATTCAGCGCTTACTTGAAAGATGTTTCAGGCTAAAACTTGAATCTGCAGGTCATTTAATCGTCTTATAGTAGTAGAGCTCTTCTGTCGTTTATCAGAGTAAAAACTTTTGTTGTTTGACATTGATTCATGTCAATTGGTCTGGATTCAGATGGATGTTGTGAGTAAACTGAGGCACCCTAACCTTATCGCTCTCATTGGAGCATGCCCGGAAGCTTGGTCGCTGGTGTACGAGTATCTCCCCAATGGCAGCCTTGAAGATCGACTCAATTGCAGGGACAACACTCCTCCTCTTTCATGGCAAACCCGAATTCGCATTGCCACTGAGATATGCTCTGCTCTCATCTTCCTGCATTCACACAAACCCCACAGGATTGTACACGGGGATCTCAAGCCGGATAACATCCTCCTCGACGCCAACTTCGTTAGCAAGCTCAGTGACTTCGGCATCTTTCGGCTGATTCTGTACGTTGAAAATGCAGCCGGCGGCAGCTCAACAGCATCCTCGAGAACTGACCCAAAGCGTACCTTTATGTACCTGGACCCTGAGTTCCTGGAGACCGGAGAGCTGACGCCGATGTCCGACGTTTACTCATTCGGACTCGTTCTGTTGCGGCTTCTAACAGGAAAACCAGCCTCATCAGGAATAGTGAAGGACGTTCAACATGCATTAGACAATGGCAATTTAGAAGGCGTGCTGGATGAATCGGCCGGAGATTGCCCTTTTATACAAGCCAAGCAATTGGCCGGCTTGGCATTAAGATGCTGTGAAAGAAGCCAGAGCAACCGGCCAGATTTGAGACAAGAGGTGTGGAGAGTGCTTGAGCCGATGACTGCTTCATGTGGTGGCTCGTCGTCTTTCCGTCTAGGGGCCGAGGAACGTCGCCAGCCTCCATCCTACTTCGTTTGCCCCATTTTTCAGGTGAGTTCCAGTGTTGAACCTTGTTCTGCTAGCTGTAGTCTGGTTGCACTGATTGTTATTGTTTGAAATTGCAGGAAGTAATGCAGGATCCACAAGTAGCAGCAGACGGTTACACATACGAAGCGGAAGCTTTGAAAGGATGGCTGGAGGGCGGCCATGATACTTCGCCCATGACCAACCTTAAGCTCAATCACGGCAATCTCGTCCCTAATCACGCTCTTCGTTCTGCAATTCAAGAATGGCTTCAACAGCCTTGAAATTTAAATTTAGTAAATGTATTTAAACACTACTCTTGACTGGTTGAGCTTATTAGTTCAATTATACCAAAGGATGATAAAGGTCCTTGGACATAGACTCGAATTAAGAGGAGGTGATGACATGTAAAAGGAAATCAATTCACAGAGCCGGGTGATTGTGTTGTTCCTGGCATTCCGATGTTCAAGTCATTAGAGTGAAACAATATGCCCGAGTTGTTTTAAGGCTAATAAATGCAACCTAACTTTCAAGTTCTAGGACCTACACGTTCATCTTGTTGATTAACACGTCGTGACAACCTTTGGAATAGACCTGGCAATTGGGTTGGGTGGGTCGGGTTCGGATTGGGTCAAGGAACTTTGGCTTGATTTTGGGCCGGGTTGAATTTCGAGTTGAGT